GGGGACAGCCAGCTCTCGGGTAACTAGCTGGGGGACAGCCAGCTCTCAGGTAACTAGCTGAGGGGACAGCCAGCTCTCAGGTAACTAGCCGGGGTCTTTGTTTTTATGCCCCTGTGTCAGTTGCCTTGACTCTAATAGGAGAATGATAATGCAAGGAGTATTGTTTCAGAAACGACTCTGAAGGAAACCTTTTGAGACAGGTATCTGTGCTCTCTGCTTCCGCCTACCCTTTCCACTCTGGCTGGCTTTGTGTGTCTTTGCCTCAGGAGAGGCCTGTGACTAGACTTCCAGGGTTTTGTTCTGAATCTATGGAGAAGTTCTGTTGGAATTACTTATGCAAGTAGAAAATTCTGTCATTACAAATGCAGCAGGGACCTCCCCTGACCTCTTGGTGGTACTCTCTTCATGTGTATGCCTCAGAGAGTCTGGGTCTTTGCCAGAACCCCTCTTCTCTAGAAAACAGCAGAGGAGTGAACCCAAAGAGATTTGCTCATGCAATGGGAAGGCTCACCAAATGGTTCTTGGGCTTCTTGAGACTCCTAACCCCAGGGATGGGGCTGTAGCTCGTAGACATAACATTTGCCTAGCATGCACAAAGCCATGAGTTCAACACCTCCCCCACCCCATAGTACACCACTGGACACCTAGTCCTTCTCAGAGTCCCACCTGATGTCAGAGAAGCATTTTAAGGTCCCACCACATAAGAGGCCCAAGTCTTAGGGCTTCCTGTACTCTGGAGGTGTGTATCTTTTTAAGGTTGCTGATAAAACAAAACATAAGCATACAAACCTCCTGTGTGATTATTTTATTGTTGCCGCTGCTGCTGTTTGAGAGACATTTTGTAGATTACAAGCTGCAGCTGGGAAGCGGTAAATGCTTTGTGAAATCCAATGCTAGCGTAGGCCTGGCCGGCTTCATCCCAGAGTGTTCATTTGACACCAGCTCTTTGTTTATCCTTTTGTAGGTGACATAAATAATTACCATGTTCTTCTAAGGCCATTTTCCTGCGATAGCTTGCTTCTCTCCTTAAATATTTTAGGAGGAAGTGTAACGTGCTGTCTGTTGTGTTGTCTTTCCCCTCTGTGATTCAGAAAGCCTGGCCTCCTGATTCAGTCAACGTAGTCTGTAGATAGTTTTGTATTTCATTCCAAATAAGGATAACCCAAACCTTGATAACAAAGTAAACAGGTGCACAAAATCTTTCCTTTTCAGGGGTGTTATCTTTCCCACTGTTTCCCACTGGTTTCAAGGCCTCCAAATATGGATTGTCTACGGTTTTCAATGAGCCACTAATTTGAAATGTCTACAAAAATTAGTACAAAAAATCTTTTCCAGATAAAAACTACTAAAAATAGTTACACAATTTATGTCCTAAAACAGAGTGTATTCCTTTTCTTCTTCATTCAATAAGAAATACAAAGATGCCATGGAAAGCTTTCAGAGCAATAATTTGAATATAACAATAAGTATTTCTAGCCATGGACACACACGCACACACACACACAGGTTGAAGATGGAAGAATATGAGGTCTTACTTGAGTAGCAGTTTATCTTGCAACCAAAGCTGAAGGATGGAGAAAACTTCTACATAAAGGTAAAGGAATATAGACAACAGAGACAAGCAGGTGACTACAGAAAATAATTGTTTGTATAAAATAACATCTATGTCTAGAATGATTCTTAATGAAATTACTTTCAAATTAAAGTTTTTCAAGACAAATTTGAAAACATTCATTGCCAGAAAAAGTTACAAGATTTTTTTTTAAGTTTTTTTTTTAAGTCTCTTTTCAACTAGGCTTTCTGAAGCAAAGTTAGGTCATTGGAAAGATGAAACAAAGCCAAGTGACACAATATATTCTGTCATGGCTGTGCCACATTTGCCCATGTGAGAAATAATGCTCCCAAAGGCCTTGCCTTGCCTGATGTGATCTACTTCCAAAAGGGAATGATTGCCTAGCCGACCATATTGGTTGCCTGTTGCTTGGTAACAAGCATTCCCAAACCAAAAGCTTAAAACAGCATTCATCACCCTCCTTTTCCCCAGGTGCAGCTTGGCTGGTTTGTGCTTCACACACACCGAGGCTCTCTCATGACGAGAATTCCAGTATTTGCTAGGCTGCTACAGTTATGCCAAGTCTCAGTTGGTTCCAGATCTGTGTCCAGTGCACTTATCCTTTGGTCTTCCACAGAATGTGAGACCCAGGACCCCAGCTCCTTGCTGATCGCTGGCCAGAGGTTGCCTCAGTCTCATTCCGTGTGACATAAAGAAAGTAAGTAAGTGTGGGAGAGAAGACCAAGACAGTGGGAAAAGAAGATGGGGGGGGTCACACTCATTTTAACGTACTCTGCGAATGATGCCCCGTTACCTTTCCATGCTTTATGTATTAGAATCAAGCCCACCAGGATCAGCTCACACTCCAAAGGACAGAGTCTTCCAAGAGTGTAGACACCGGGAAGTAGAATCATTGGGAACCATCTGTAGGACTCTGACCATATCAACCTGAACTTTAAAACAGACATAATAAGCTGATATTTTAAGATTTAAAATTTATGTGGTTCGTATTTCTTATATCCATTGGCAAATTCCTTTTTTACTCTATATGAGCTTCATATGCCACTGAGAAGTACAAATCATCTTGCTGGCAAGCAAACTATACTCAGCAAAGATATATTCAGTTATATGGTCAGGTTTCTGAGGTCAGGGACTTATCTGTCATGTTCTCTATTGTACCCCAGTGTCTATCTTGGGTTTGATGCAAACCAGACACTCAGGAGAAAGCTGGCAAATGAACGGCTTCAAGACTACTTACAGCAGATCTACAGTAAGTACTGTGTTCTTGACTACACTCTTCATAAAGTGAGCAGCAGAAAGACATGCTTTTGTATCATGAGCAAAAGGAAGACATTGTTAGAACTTGGGGTTTTCTAAGCCAGCCCCAGACTTGAAGTTACCAGCTCTATAAAAACTTGGGTTGCTAGTAACACAAGAGCCAGCTCCATTCGAGGGCTGTTCTTGGTGTCAACTTGACTGTCAGGAATCAACTGAAAACCTAGCAGCTGCACTTGAAGTGGGAAGGTTCAAATTTCATAATCTGTGTCTTTTGAGCTGGGAAGATCCACCTTTACTCTGGGACACACCTGCTGGCAGCTCATATAAATAACACGGCAGAGGAAGAGGGAAGCTGGCTTGTTCTTTTGCTGGCAGGTCCACTCCTTCATTGGCATCAGAGCCTGCTTGCTCAGAACCCCACTGTCTACTGAAGACCAACGAAGACATTCAACCTCATACACTCATACTACAAGTTTTGTTTCTTTAGAGAACCCTGACAAACACTCCATTTTTTCATACAGGCAGAATTTTCTTTTCTTCTTTAATAAATTTCACTTCTTGTGGCCTATCCACTCACTGAGATACTGATAAAGGACCACAAATCTGAAGAAACAAAAGAACAGTTGGCTTTTAAAAATATACAAATAAAGCACAGGTGTGGTGATGAAATATAAAAGCATAGAAAATCCAGAGCCTTTGAGCCCTTCCCCAGTCCTTCTCCACCTTCAAAGGTTTGGCTGTTTCTTATTTAGCCTTTCAAATACTCTCCCATGAAGATTTTCTTTTCCTTCTCACAATTGGTAAAAATAATGATATACACCTGCTCCTCTTATCTTTAGTAGTTTGTTTGGAGGGCTAAGGTTAGAACACCTAGCATACTTGAAGCCTAGGATTCACATTCCATTACCACACACACACACACACACACACACACACACACACACAAAGTCTATCTTCTGGAAGCCATATAGACCTGTCTCAATTTCCATGGTGCCATAGAATTCCATTGTATGGACGCACTGTGAGTTACTAGACCTTACCTAGTAGGCGTTTGTTTCTACTCCCTCTTTGCTCCTTCCCAAGTGCAGTACCATAATGGACATGCTCAGCTTTGTACATTTGAATAGGTTTGTCTTATATTTGATACTTTATGATTTTATGTGGGTGTGTGCAGTGTGTGTCCCTGATGCCCAAAGAGTCCAGAAGAGGATATAAGATGTCCTAGAACTGGAGTTCCAGGTAGTTGTAAGCCTCCATGTGGGTGCTGGGAATCAAACTCTGGTCCTCTGAAAGAGCAGGTGACATTCTTAACTGCTGTTCCATCTGTTTATCCCTTGAGATTATTTTATAGATCATCCTTAGTCACAAAATTGCTAGACTAAAGGATTTGTGTGTGTGTGTGTGTGAGTGTGTGTGTGTGTATACTTTTCCTTTTGATCAAGACAGGGGTTCTCTGTGTAGCAGCCCTGGCTGTCCTGGAGCTCACAGTAGACCAGGATTGCCTCAAACTCAGAGAGAACCCCCTGCCTCTGCCTCCCAAGTGCTGGGATTAAAGGCGTGCGCCACCACTTCCCAGCTAGGATGTGTATATTTTAAAGCTTCTTTGTGAATGAAATGAAATACAAATGTTTAAAAACAAAATAAACACAGAGTTTAATGGATTGTTTCCAGCTCAAGAAACGACTTCTGTTGACTGCATCCCAAGCTCCCTTTGTGGTCTGTGGCGATCGGAACTGGCTCCCTCAGCCCCAAGTCCCTACTTACTGGCTTTGGAAATCACTTCCTTCTATGGATTTTATCCAATTAACATTTCTAAAAAGGAGAGCTTTGCGTTGCCAATTTTTAAAAGCTTTTATGTCTTTTGAAGTTTTTTGTGCCCACAGTTTCTCCTACAAACTTTTCCAAACAGTTAACCTGCTAAAGGCCCCAGAAGCCAGAGTGTTCGAGCTACAGTTTCTGTAGGTTAATTCAATCTGAATTAGCCTGTTTACTTGTTCCTGGTGTGGTTTAACATGCTACTCTGCTCCCTGTAGCTCCTGCAAACCAGCAGCTAGGTTGAAATTTTGGTGAGGCTCAGGCTTGATCCCATGGTATTACCACAATGGTGGTATACCAGGGAGCCTCTGGCGGCTAGTTGTCTGCCTGTGTCTTAAGCAGGTGTGGATGCTGACCACCCAGGTCCATTACATCACTGTGGGCTACAGACTGTTCTAATCTGTTACTTCTTAATCTACTTGCTAAAAGAATTCTGTTTAAAAACGCATCTGTTCCTCTGTTGTTTGTTTAATCAGTGATGCTGTTCTGCCAGGAAAGGCAAAGCAAGTGCCTAGTTCTTTCCCTGTGTTTACAAGCTAACAGTTTTCTTTCAACACTCATAGGTAACTTGGTTTACTTATCTTGGACTTACATATATGCATGGGTTCAGCACACATGTATTTGAAATATTTTATGGGTTTCTAGTTATTTGAAGTTTGGTGTGCTTCATGTTTGGCCTCTGAGAGCCTCTTCTGTTGGCACTTGAATCTGAAACAACCCAGCATGCTCAACAGCTTCCTTACTATCTCACATGACCTGGTTTCTGGATTGTCTTCCACATCTTACACCACACACCTGGCCTCAGCCCTTCAACACCCTGGTTTCTCATATGGCAATGGTATTTCTAAACCTAAATTCAAAACACAAAGTATGTATGTATCTATTTTTAAAGATCAAATAACTCAGCCAGTAGTTGTAGCACACACTTTCAGTCTGGCACTCAGGAGGTAGAGACAGGTGGATCTCTATGAGTTTGAGGACAGCCTGGTCTACAGAGAAACCCTGTCTCAAAAAAGCAAATAAGCAAAAAGGATAAAATAACTTGTTAGTTCATTCTGATATTCTGGTTCAAATTAAGGATGGCTGGGCTTTCACAGAAGGCTCAGAATGGCGGTGCCACCATTTGGGTTGGTTGTAGTCAATCGGATCAGTAGGTATCATACTCTTTCACTTGTGTCTGTATTATCTGCATTGTCAGAGTATATGCCAATGTATACAAAGTCTAGAGTATACACCCAGTGTATACAAAACCTAGAGTATACAGCCAGTGTGTACAAAACCTAGAGTATACAGCCAGTGTGTACAAAACTGAGAGTATACAGCCAGTGTGTACAAAACCTAGAGTATACAGCCAGTGT